GTAATTTACCTAATGAATTAATGCAATATTTTTGGAGTACTCTATGTGGTGTAAGCTGTGTAGTGCAGTGTACGTTTGGCAATATAGTGGTGCAGTAATCTACGCTGTCCAGTGCATGGGGTTCTCGTGGGTCTCACGGTGGTCTTCGTGGAAGCTCCCTCGGGGCCTTGGAGGGTGGGGGCTGCCATGACAATTCTCGGGGTGTTTCCTGCGCACTTGCGGGTTTCGCGTCGGCACGTTGTTCGGGCGCGCCTGGCCATCGAGCCCACCGATGCCTTCGGCGGTGCCCCAGGGCACACTTGAGACTCAATCGGCCTTGCGCGGGCAGGCAAACGACCGACGCAAGACGCGCGCAATGGTGATGTGGTTCGAGCGGCGGGGATGGCCTTTTTCAATATGACCTGGAAACCAGCGCTGCTTTCTACGCAGCCAGCAACGCGCAATGTACCGACATGTTGTCGCGCAGCCAGGTCGGTAGCGATCTAGGGCTCGAGTCGGCCATGCGTAATGCAACTCTGCTCGCACGCACTATGCGCTGCGAAATTTGTACATTTACACGCCCCTGTAGTATAACTCTAGAGCGCAATATAATGCGTACCGTTTTAAAGTAAAGATTTTTTTTGTTTGATATGGTGTTGGGGATGGTTTGGGCTCATTATGCTGGCCACGCTGAAAAGCGCTCTGGATAATGTTTGGGCGTGGTTAGGCGTTTTGATGTCGAAGGGCGGTCCCCTGAGACGCATCAGAAAATAATATCATGCTCGGTCGACGGGGTGCTCGGAGTCACCTTCGGCCCGAGCTGAGCTGGCTTGCGCAGTGGCCTCGGTCCGCGCCCCCAAGGCAGTTCTCGTGGCCTCGAAGCAGCACGTCATTCACGTCGCGGTCGAAAGCCCTATTCCGTCACGGTTCTGGGTTTGGAACCCTATTCAAAATATTCCCAGCAAGTGATAGGGTGCTTGCACGTCGGCCTCGACATGTGCAGGTTCGGAATGCCGCGTCGGAATCCGCCTCGGCGCGCTTCGACGCCCCAAGGTCTCGACCTCGCAGTCGGCACGAGGTCCAATAGCAAAACCCCGCGCAGCGTTCCAGACGGCGACGGGTCCCCGCCGCAGCGTTTGGGTCACCAAGCTGGCTGTGCAGCGCCCGCCCCAGCCCCGCCGCGCGATTGCCCGCTGCGCTGCTCGCTCGGCGCCGAGCGGAGCGCGCTATGATGAGCTACGGCGGGGCCGCGGGCCTGCCCGGCGCCGGGCCCGCCTGCCGGCCGCAGCCCGCGCTGGGGCAGCGCGCGGGGTCCTACGTCTACGTCCGCCTCGCTGCCCTCGGCTGGGAGCGGGCCACTGGCGCTCGGGGGTCTCGCGCGCCCGCCGAACGACAGCGCGTCGGCCCCGGCTGCCGGCCCTGGCCGCCGCCCCGCAGCTCCGAGGCCCTCGCCAGCCAAAAAGCGGGCGGCACCCGCGGTCGAGACGCCCGCGGCGAGTGCCCCGAACGGAGACGGGGTCAGCCCAGGCGGGAAGGCACTCTAGAAGACGCGCCCCGCCGCTTCGTCGGCAGCGGACGAGTCGCGCGAGGCGTGGGCCAGACGCCGGCCAGCAGAGGCGGCAGCGCCAGGCGACTCGCTGCTCACGATGATGCCCGAGTTGCGGTCGATCGGCAAGGAGACCAAGGACCGCTAGTCCGCCGCGTTCGAGGAGTTCAAGGCCCGGGCAGCTCGGCGCGGCCAGTCGACCGCGAAGCTGGCCAAGAACCTCGACAATCCGGACGGGGCGCTGGCCGCCCACTCCAAAGAGCTCCACCTGCGGGGCGAGGCGACGAGCGCAGCCAGGGACGTCCTTCGGGGCGATGCTCTGGCTTGGCAGGGGCAAAGCGCCGAGCTTGCTTCCGCGCCGCCGCCTCTCGCCCCGAGGCTTTCGCCGGGGCGGCCCCCGGCGCCCGAGGGCCCCTGCCCTCGAGAGACGGCGGCGCCCCTGACCGCAGCCTCTGAAGGACGGCACCCTGCTCTTAGCGCTGAGCAGCCGGGCCTTCGTGACGAAGTGCGACTTCTTCGCCGGACCGTCGACGCCGAGCATCCCGAAGGAAGACGTCGTCGCCCCGAGGACCAGGGCCTACCAGGACGTCGCCGCGATCGCGGCCCCCAGCCCTGCGCGCGCGGCTGCCGCGGAGGCGATTGCGCGAGGCGGTCTGCAGGCGCCGCCGCCGACGACGCCCGCGGCGGCGCCCAAGCGCCCGGCAGCGCGCCCAGCGAAGCGCGGGGAATTCGACGACACCGTCCTCGCCGGGCTCGACGGCCTGGGGTTCGAGTTCGCGCCGGAGATACTCCTCGCCCTTCAACGCGCGGCGCTTCCGGGGCATCCCCTGTTCGCGCTGCTCGCCCTCGGCGAGTGCGAGCGACAGGCCCTGAAGGGCGCGGAGGCGGCCTGCCTGGGCCCGCTCCGCATCGCGCCCCACTCGGCCAGGCGCGGCGGCGCCAGCTCGGCCATGCGGAGAGGCCGCTGGCTGGCGCCGCGCAGCGTCGAGCGGCGCGAGAAGTCGGGCAAGCTCCTCAGGCAAGCTGCGGCGATTCGCGACAAGATCCCAGATGGCGAGCATCTCTTGCAGGCTGACAGCCGCGACTCGCTGAGGAAGCAGATGATCGCGGCTGCCAACTCGGTTTGGCGTCTACGAGCGCAGGCTCACCGATGAAGATGTCCCCGACCCGCCCGCCCTGAGGTGCGACACTGTTGTTTGGTGGGTTGGAGCGCGGTCGAGCTGACGCAGTCTTCCTCGACGCCCGTGCTCAGCGCGCCTCCGGACGGCTGCAGTGTTCGCATTGGTCGTCGCCAAAGTTTGCTCTCTAGCATGGTCGGGCTAGCGCGTCAGAGACTCGATGGATAAAAGATGGGTGATTCGTTGTTGTTCGATTGCTCGATCACATCGGCGCTTCGCTTCGTCTTGTGATCCATCCGCGAGGCTCACGCCTGGATCCGCGCCCTGCCAGCGCCAGCTTGGGCGCCGAAAACACGGGAAACGTTTTCCGGTCACCTGGGGCATTCATTCATGGCGCCGCAATGTCCCCGCTAGCCTGAGAAATATGCGCCGTCAACGACTGTCGTTCCTGTTGCGGGAGGGGTGGGTCCATGGCCGCCCCGCCCAACCCGCCCTACGTGGCGGCTCTCGTTTGCTTTCCATACTGGAGTGCGCTTGAGCTGACGCAGTCTTCCTCAATGCCCGTGCTCAGTGTGCCTCCGTACAACTGCAGTGTTCGCATTGGTCGTCACCAAAATTTGCACTGTAGCCTGCTCGGGCTAGCTCGTCAGAGATTCGATGGAGAAAAGATGGGCGTTTCGTTTTTGTTCGGTTCTTCAACCAGAATGGTGCCTCGCTTCATCTTGTGACCCATGTGCGAGGCTCTCGCCAGGATCCGTGCCCTGCCAGCGCCAGCTCAGGTGCCGAAAACACAGGAAAAGTTTTCCGGTCGCCTGGGGTATTCATGGCCTCGCAATGTCCCCGCTAACTTTGGAGAGAGAGAGAGATGTATATAATCAGCCGGGTGTTTGAAGATGTTTGGCGGCCTCTGGTTTTCGGCTCAACACGATTCGAATAGAGCTTCGGAAAAGGTCCGAGACGATGCCAAAGGGCCCCGGCGATTGGCCAAATGAGCCCAAGAGGGCCCCAAGAAGTGTCATAGAGTGCGCAAGATGGTTCCGAAGAGGCCCCGAACGGCGCCTGGAGGCGTCTTGAAACCTCCCGTGCGAAGGCGTGCTTCAGTTGGAGTCAGAATGGCGGCCAGCTGACGTCCTTTCTGCAGTCGGGGCCCAGGGCCGGCGGAATGAACAGGCCGCGGGTGGGATCCCAGTGGGGGGGGCGCGAGGGTTTTTTGGAAAGGTATGGGTACAAGGACTGCGTGGGTAAGACGGCTGAGGGGGAATAGTCCTTGCACACCATCCGGCGGGATCTCTCGCACCGTACCCGGTGGGGCGGCGGATCGTTTCAATCATCCCGCTGGCCCGTACAGTGTCATCGTTGTTGCGTGCCCGTTTGGTCGTAGCGATTGGGAAGGTGTCCGTGTGCTCGTGGCCAAAGGGAGATGTCTGGGAGACATTCAGCGGTTTTTCGGTTTATTCTTGGGACCGAAGTGAGTCGTGGACCAGATGCCTCGTAGCCGAGGCTCGCCGTGGCCAGAAGAGCCCCTTCGTTCCTTCGTTAGCGTTAGCATTTCTGCTCCCGCGGGTGGGGCCGGAACCGTTTGAACGGTCGCCGCGCTTGCCGCGGTCGATGGACTGCTGATGCGCCGTGTGCCCGCCCCGCCAGAGCACCAAGAAACGATGTTCTGGCGAGTCGTCGTGGCCAGGGGGGCTTCGGAATGCGCGGTGGGACAGGGAGGCGGACAGCCACCACACCGAAGCTCGGGATTCGCCTGAGCAGATCCTGGGGCCAGGAGCCGACCACGAAAACCGATGCAAATCGTGCCCCTCGGGGCCATTTTGGGCTCTGTCGCGACAATTCTGGTAGCATCTAAGACTCCCTGTTTGGACGTTGATGCATTTCATCATATTCAAGGTAACCCCACCAGCCCATCCAGAAACGATGTTCCGACGAATTGCCCTGATCAGGGATGTGGAAGAGCATGCAGTGGAAGAAAGAGCTGGGTAAGACGTCGTACCCCAAGAGGGGGAGGATGGAAGAATAATCGGAGGAGCAGGAAGAGAAGGAGGACGCCCAAAGGGGCTCCCAAGAGGACCCCAAGAGGCCCCAAGGAAAACTCCAAGACGACCGAAGGCTTCCAAGACGGCCCAGCAGGACCCCGAGACGCCCGAAGAGGCCTCCAAGAGTCTTCCCAAGAGGGCCCACAGAGGCAACAAGCGTTGATTGTTGTATGGTTGTTGATCGTTGTTGGGGTTCTCGCCTTTTCGAGCCCAGAACGGCCGCCGAGGACGGACCAAGGGGCTCTAAAGATCGTCCCCAGACGGCCCACGAGCCCCCAAAATGGGCCGAAAACGGTCCAAGATGGCCCCCCGACGGCCCCAGAGCGGCTCCCGACTCTCCCGCCAACGCGTGCACATGTTCTCGACATCTTGTCTCCCTGCGCCGATTGCCGGCGCGCACCGAAGGGGTCGCCCCAGTCAGGCCGTTGACGTCCGCAGGCTGCTCGCGCAGATGAGCACGTGGCTTGTGGAAGCGTCGCCGCCGCCGCTGTCAACGTTGCATTTACGCGCCGCCGCTCTGACTCGAGCTGACTGGGCTCGGCGCCCAGGCCCATGACGTGCCGCCCCGAGCTGGCAGCCCGCATCAGCCAGGGCCGATTCGGCGGCACTCAGCTTGTCGCAGCGGCCGGCAGCGGCCCAGCGGTGCTGACTGTCCTGGGGTGCGACAGCCTCAGCAGCGCGGAGTGGGACGAGGCGCTGCGCCAAGCCTCCGAGCTCGTAGGTTTGAGGCACCCCCACGTCGTGGCCGTCCGCGAGGCCTGGCGGGAGCCCCGCGGGCTCTGCGTGCTGACGGACCACGAGGCGGGCGGGACGGTCGCTGGGCGCCTGGCCGCCGCCAGGGCGAGCGGCGCGGCCCTGCCAGAGGCTCGGGCGGCGCAGTGGTTCACCCAGGCTTGCCTAGGGCTCGAGTACGTGCACCGCGTCGGCTTCCTCCACAGGGACCTGCGCGCTTGCCGCCTGCTGCTGACGCGGAGCGGCCACGCCATCCTGGGAAGGCCGGCATTGACACCCTTCCTGGCGAAGCAGCTAGAGGCAAAGGGGCCTGGCGCCGACATGGACACCTTGCGGCACCTGAGCCCCGAGGTCATGTCCGGGCAGAGCGCGCACAGCCGCGCGAGCGACATGTGGGCGCTCGGCGTGGTGCTGTGCGAGATGACAACCATGCAGCACCCGTTCCCGCAGGAGCAACCCAGGAGCTTGGCCAAGGAGATCGCCTCTGGACCCCTGCCCCCGCCTGCGCTCGGCCCGGGCGCCCCTGGCGGCGACCTCCGCGGCCTGTGCGCCTCGCTGCTGCAACGGGACGCTGCGGCGCGGCCCTCAGCGCCCACGGCGCTGCGTGCCAACCCGGCGCAGCGCTGCCTGCTCTCCCTCCTGGGCACGTCCTCGCCGCCTCGGCAGGTGCCCCCAGGGCTTCCCTCCGAGATCCACGCCGTGGACCGCGGCGCCGAGCGTGCGGCGCCGTCTGTGCAGGGTCCGTGCCGTCCGCAGTCCATGGAGGATCCGTTTGGCCGTCCCGAGGCCTCTCGGCCCCGAGCGGGATGTCATAGCGGCGTAGCGCACACGCCTTGCGAGTCAGGCGCGGTTTCGCCGCTGACGAGCACCGCGCCCGCCTCCGCTCGCCGGGCGCTGCCGGCCGGCCGCGGGTTCCGCATCGGCAGCGCGCCCCGGGCCAGCGACTTCGTGCGCCTGGGCAGGTCGAATTTGGCGCTTGAGGCTGGCTCCAACCCGAAGAAGGTCACTCCGCCTTCGCCGCTGATTGGCGCGGCAAGGAGGTGCCGGCTGACGCTCGGAAGTAAACGGGTATAACCCAGACCAAAGTCCAGGGGTCGGCGGGGATCGTCGGGCGAGGAGAGCAGGCCAAGCTTCACGCCCGGAGACGTCGCCCACTGGGGGGCTGGACAAGAACAAGGCTCCTTTCAGGAAGAAACTTGGCACGACCAAGCCTCATCTGACAGGCGTATCACAAAAGTCCCAGAGCTCCGAGACTCCTAATCCGAGCCCTGCAGCAGTGGACCCCGGAACCCAACGAGCCACGAGCCCTCGCAGATCCTGAGGCCACGGATCTTTGAACCTCGTGGCCCCCAACCCTTGTTCTTCGAACGCCTTGTTACCCCCACCTGGCCTCCAACGGTAGCAGCACCAGACCCCCCAAGCTGCTCCCACTTGCTCCCTGCTGGTCTACCAGGTGCGTGGCCGACGTGCTGGAGGAGACGCTGTTGGAATTCCATGCCTGCACTGTCATGGCCGAGGACGCCCCGGCCGTCCTGGCCGCAGCTGGCGACTGAGCCTGGGCCCTGGCCGCGGCGGCCGAAGACTTGTCGGCCGCGCCCTCGGGCGGCACCCATGGCGCACGCTGATGGCCCGCAACGGTCGTGGCGGCAGCGCCGCCGCCGTCCGATCTCCGCGGCTACAGCAAGGAGGCCCAGGGGGCGAGGAGGGGCACGCGACCAGCTGACGGGGCGCCTGCATCCCGCTTCCTTCCATCCTCCTCAAACAAGTCTAGACGCTTCGCGTATCCCCACCAGCCCATCCAGAAACGATGTCCAGGCGAGTTGAGGTGATCAGGGAAGAGCGGGAGCAAAGAGGGGGACGGCCGAACCGTGCGAAGGAGGGAGGACGAGAAGGAGGAGGCTGGATGGATGGATGAGGGAGTGGGGAGAAGGAGGATGAATAGGATGATGATGATAATGATGATGATGATGATGATGATGATGATGATGATGATGATGATGATGATGATGATGATGATGATGATGATGATGATGATGATGATGATGATGATGGTGGTGGTGGTGGTGGTGGTGGTGGTGGTGGTGTGGTGGTGTGGTGGTGATGATGATGATGATGATGATGATGATGAGGATGATGATGATGATGATGATGATGATGATGATGATGATGATGATGATGAGGAGGAGGGGAGGAGGAGGAGGAGGAGGAGGATGAGGCTGAGGCTGAGGAGGAGGAGGAGGAGGAGGAGGAGGAGGAGGAGGAGGATGATGAGGATGAGGATGAGGATGAGGATGAGGAGGATGAGGATGAGGATGAGGAGGATGAGGATGAGGATGAGGATGAGGATGAGGATGAGGATGAGGATGAGGATGAGGATGAGGAAAAGGAGGAGGAGGAGGAGGAGGAGGAGGAAGAAAAGGAGTAGGAGGAGGAAGGAGGAGCAGGAGGAGGAGGGCAAGCAAAAGGGCCAGAGGTCTCTTGGATGCCTCTCGGAGCCTCTTCGTGTATCTCTTGGGCGCTTCTTGGTGGCCTCTTGGGACATCTTGGGTGTCTCTTGGCGGTCCTGGGGAGATCTTGGGCGTCTTGGGTGCCTCGGGGAGGTCTCTTGGGGCCGCTTGGGGTCCTTTGGGGGCCTCCTGGGGGCCTCTTGGGGGCCTCTTGGGTTGGGACCTCTTGGGGCCTCCTGGGCGCTTCATGGGGCCATCTTGTAGGAAATCGATAAAAGAAGAGGGGAGCTTATTACCTAACAGCTCTTGCTGATAGGTTTCTAGTGGTCTCAAAAGAGAGCATCATGGTTTCCTCAGGGGGGTCTGGGCGGGACCCGGACAGGCTGCCGCCGAGGCTGCCGCCGAAGCCGAAATCGCTTGGGACATCCTCGCAAAATCGCTATTGGTGCTCCCAGAACTCCATTCCCGGGCCACATTTTGGATGCCCGGAGCCAACTGTAGGCCACTTCGTGCTCTTCGACTTCCCAGAACTCCATTCCCGGGCCACATTTTGGATGCCCGGAGCCAACTGTAGGCCACTTCGTGCTTTTCGATTTCCCAGAACTCCATTCCCGGGCCACATTTTGGATGCCCGGAGCCAACTGTAGGCCACTTCGTGCTCTTCAAGTTCCCAGAACTCCATTCCTGGGCATGATTTTGAATGCCCGGAGCCAACTGTAGGCCACTTCGTGTTCTTCTAGTTCCCAGAACTCCATTCCTGGGCCACATTTTGAATGCTGAGGCAGGCTGATGCTGCGGCCGAGGCAGGCTGAGGCTGAGGCAGGCTGAGGCTGAGGCCGAGGCTGAAGGCAGACTGAGGCTGAGGCTGAAGCAGACTGAGGCTGAGGCTGAGGCAGGCTGAGGCTGAGGCTGAGGCAGGCTGAGGCTGAGGCTGAGGCTGATGCAGGCTGAGGCTGAGGCAGGCTGAGGCTGAGGCCGAGGCTGAAGGCAGACTGAGGCTGAGGCTGAAGCAGGCTGAGGCTGAGGCTGATGCAGGCTGAGGCTGAGGCTGAGGCAGGCTGAGGCTGAGGCTGTGACTGCGACTGCCGTTGCCGCTGCGACTGTCATCGCGAATGCGACTACGACTGCGAGAACAGCAGAATTCGACAATTGGATTTTCATCTGAATCTTGAGGGGAATGCTTTCAGATATGCTTCTACACATCGCTGTTAGGTTGCTTTGCCGGGATAATTTTAGAATTGCCCCCCCAAGAGGCCAAACTTAAGCCAACATCTTAATACAACGAATGATTGTGGCTTCCTCGCCGAGGCGGTTTTGGATGGCCTGACCGCTCGCGACCGGCCCCGTCCAGGTCCAGGGGAGGGGGTAGGGGGAGGGGTCAAATTACCCCCTCCCCGCCCGCAAGCCGTCTCGCTCACTCCTACCCACCCTCCCAACACATACGTAGCACCCGAGCCTGGCCCGAGCCGCAGCATATTCAGCAGTCGTCTTTGGATGGACAGCTACTGGGGGCCAATCCGCCGCCGCCGCCGCCGCCGCCGCCTCCGCCGCCGCCGCCGCCGCCGCCGCCGCCGCCGCCGCCCCCCGCTGCCTAACCGCCGCCGCAGCTGCAGCCGCTGCCACCACCGCCGCCGTCGCAGCCGCCGCAGCCGCCGCCGCCTCCGCCGCCGCCCCCGCCCCCCGCCCCCCGCCGCCGCCGCCGCCGCCGCAGCCGCCGCAGCCGCCGCCGCCGCCGCAGCCGCCGCCGCCGCCAAGTGCCAAGTGTACTCTTTAGCGTTTTTACCTAACAGCTCTTGCTGATAGGTTTCTAGTGGTCTCAAAAGAGAGCATCATGACTCGTCAGGGGGGTCTGGGCGTGTGAATAGAACCCGTGTAATACCCTCATATAATACTCCTTATCCTCACCTCTCCTGCGCCTGGCCGTTTGGGCTCAGGTATTGGGGCAGATCGATCAGACCTTTGATCGTGCAGGAGGGAAAGACATCCATCTATCCCTCCTTCCCTCTACCAACGGATCAGGGGTTCTGTACCCTTGTACTTCAACCCCATACACAGGTTATCAGCCCTTTAAAGCTCACCGTTCATCGAAACCCGCGTCGCGATCTCGCACGCGGCCTCGATGGAACCCAAGCGGCGCATGCGCCGTAAGGGGTCCATCGGGGCCTCGCGTCCGAGCGCTCCGACGGCGCGACGGCTCGGTGATGAGTTGGAGAGCCTTAGTGCGGACCGCGTTGGTGTCCCAGGTACCCCCCCCCCCCGCCCCCCAGCTCCGACGGACCCGAGGCGCGGCTAGCTGTTGAACTTCACCGCAGCGCCGCCCGCGGGGGGGCAGGAGAAGGAGTAGGAACAGGTAGGAAGGAATTCCACACGCCTACCTTCGATCCTCCATCTCCTCCTCAGTCGGGAGCAATCCCAACTGCGTCAGGCGAAAGCCTCACTGGTCCTGATACTCCAGGGCGCTTTCGCGCTAACCGCCGATGGACCTCAGGCGCTGGCACCCCCAGCCCTGCGACCGTTCCTGCTGCGGAGCACGTAGCCACCTTCGAGGAACTCAGTAGACCAGTGGCGGCGCAGCCGCAGACGCAGTATCCCAAGGTATCATCGGATGAAACATCACACACACACACACGGTCCTAGTCGCAGCTCGCCCGCGCGCAACCGTCGCGGGGCCCCAGGCCCACGCGGCGAGAGTAGGTCGTGCCCGCGCGCAGCCTCTCAGAGGCCAAGCACTCCTCGCGAGAGGGGGCAAAGGGAAGCCTATGCTCCCCACCTCTCCATCTCAGACGACCAGCTGGCGGAAACGTCCGCCGCAGGTGAAATAGCTGAGCTCAGAGGCCAGGTTGAAACCTTCGTGTCCAGGCAATACTCTGGACTACTGCAGAGCGTTCAAACGAACGCTGCCAATACTGCAGCCATACGCCAAGATCTTGACGGCGCCTTAGGGATCATCGATTCCAGGATTGCCGAAGATCGACGCATCATAGGTGAACTGCAGTACCAGGTTGATCGCGAGGTGTCACACTCAGGTGAACGAACGGCGATGGTCGAGAACCTGCGCAACTACCTAGCGCAGATGGAGCAACAGCTTGTGATCGTACGCGGCACAGGCGTTTCAGCAGTCAGGATCCTCCACGATGAGATCCACGACCAGCTCCGCAACCGACCAACACCAGCCGAGGCCACCGACCTTGGCGACGTTCAGTCTCAGATCAATGATCTTCGATCCCACATGGACCACACTACGGCGACGCTTCGCAACGAAGCACACACCAACTCGTCGAACCTGATCGACATGTTGCAGCGCACTGAGAGAGTCATCACTCAAAAGCTTGATGCGACCAACGCTGTCGTGCAGCCACTCGCTAACCGGATCTCTGAAATCGAGCAGCGTTTTCCTGGTGTACAGGACGCCCTGGCAGAGTTGCGCGTCGGACGAGCCCAGACTGGCCAGCTGGATTCTCCTCCCACGGTTTACGATTTCGCCCGCCTCACTGACAGGTTGCAAGAGGTTGAGAAGGCGGCGGACCACGCGCAGTTGGAGCTCTCCCAGGTTATTCGTGAGAGAGATACTGAGAAAGTACGTGTTGGGGGGCACCTCGCACGTCTGGAAAGCGAGCTGGAGGCACAAGGTGCCCGTCTCCGAGCCTACGAGCAACGACTTGATCGGCGCTCACAACGTTCTCGGGATACTGATAAGTACACACGCCAAAAGGTGGCCCAGATACACGAAGACATGACGAGTTGGACGAATCAGCTGACCGACCACACCAACGACACCAGTCTCCACCGTCGACCTGCAACCGACCTGCACAGGCCGACGGCAGCGTCCGCCGAAGCACCACAAGCTTCTGCAGGACAACAACGACGCACGTCACCAGGAGCAGCCTCCGCGGCAGCTTCAGCACAGACACGCCATGTGTCCCCTGTGCGCACAGAACCGACTACTGACGGTGTACCGATACCCTCACAACCATTGTCTGCGGTTTCGGTCAATACTACTACTCCTATCAAGGAGTCAGACACCGTCCGAGTCCCTGTCTTGCCTAAGATCACGCAGCTGCTCGAGTGGCAGCAAAAGGTACGGGAGAACTTTGGCGCTGCCTCGGGGCGACCATCCAAAGCATATGCCTTCCTATGCGTGGCTGAACAGCCCGAGTGCACCTTCGAGGACTTACAAGACAGTGGAGATTTTGAGAGCATCGATTGCAAACTAGCTACCGCTCTGAGCGACATCTCATCCTCAGACTTGCGCTACCAAATCAGGCTCATCGAAACCAGAGAGCACAAAGCAGGACGCATGCTCAAGGGACGCCAGATCTACTGGCA